GAAGCATTTATCATTAGCAGGAACTCACTGACTGTATTTTACACCAACTGAAGAACACATTTTGCTTCACATGTACAGCATCCTCCATGCTACTCATCCACCCTCTGACTTGATGGTGGAGGGAGTTTTAAAGGGAGGACCAAGGAAGCCGGACTGAAGCCTCTTGAGTGCTGTCAGAATACTGAAGATAAACAAAATGGGGAAAATTTAAGGGGGACTGTCATTGTGGCCCATGGGCCAAGCACACACAGTAGACCACAGAGGTAAGACGACTCCTTCTTTTCTCTCTAAGCAACCATGAAGGAAACCTAAATCTAAATGAAATATGTTGATTTTCTTTAGCAATGACAAAGTGACATTTCAAAAACCCCAGAAATTTCCCAGATACTATTTTGCTCAACTTTCCACTGAAATGAGGTGTAGATTTTTGTTAACGAATGAAAATGTTGTGTGCCTTATCCATTATTAAAAGAAACTGCAGATGTTTACAGCAGTGAATCAGCTAATTAAAATGGTAGCCTGTAATTCATCAGTTAATTAAAGATTTGGACAGGTTTTTTTATTGGGCAGAAAAAATAGGATGATTTAAAATTTTACGTTGGTGGAAATCACAAAATATGTCCACAGACAGCATCTTGACTGTTTATCATGAAGGAAAACCATAAAGAAATTGTATCATTAAATTATGGCTGTAACATTAGAAGCAGGCGGTAACAGGATTTAAACCGTCATTTCTTTAAACTGACAGCTAAACAGGGGAAACTCCGAGATAAGCATAGTTGTCAAACTACACATTCCTACAAAATCTGTCATGTCAAAATGACATATTATCATATTTTCAAATGCGTGTATTGTCACTAATTTCTAAGGTTGCTTGTTCATCCTATGCCTGTGTGTTTTTCACACAAAGAGGGAAATGGAGTGTTGGTGTTTTGGTACAATATGGACAATATGAAACAGATTGGGGTTGTACATGTGTGTATTTCTGTGTGTGTGTGTGTGCGTGTGTGTGTGTGTATTGGCAGGGGAAGAGAGTGTGCATCTGTGTTTTAGTGCCATGGCCATTGTATGAAGAACAGGATCCAAGAAGACCTCAATGTCCTTGTATTTATTGAGATGGTAAATCCCTGTAAAGCACTTTCCCCCCCCTCTGAAATTGTTTTGTTTTGTCAAAAAACATGAAATGAAACAAAAAAGTTTATTTGATAGACTGTGGATCATAAATGTTTTGTGTACTAAAATGCAATAAAATAGAATGTGATATTTTTGTGGTTTCGGATCATTTTTTAGGATTAAATTAATGAAGCAATAATTCACTTTTATTTCCACCCAAAGAGCATGTTTGGCACAAAGCAAAGAAAATTGAGCTCAGCTGGGCAAACATACAAATAAAATAAATAAATATGAAGTAATTGTATTTTATGTGTTTTTAAATTATGCATGATGTTTCACTGTCTCTTTGCTTCTTGTGCTTGTGGTTTGGTACATGTTCAGTTCTTTGGTTGTAGGTTCATGTATTTGCTCTTATTTCTGTGGATAGTTGTGTACATCCTGGTGTGTGTGTGTGCGTGTATGCGTGTGAGCGTCTGCGCGCGCATTTTTTTTTTTGTGAATGTGTATTTGCCATGAAGGAGGAAGGTTGCATCATGGGAAAGATTCCCTTTTGATTGAGGTGCTATATCGTTTATGGTGATTATGCGTTAAAGTAGTTTAGTCTTTAATGAGTACATGACACATACACAGAACTGCGCTCTGTTTATGATATCTGTTGATTTATTATTTATAATATTTTGTCTACCAGACCATGCATGGATCTTATCCTGCTAATCTCATACAATTATTTTTAAATATGACTGATTACTGCACTTTTCATTGATGACATCCTGCAGCATGAAGCCTAAATAGCCTAAATATTAGTTTATTTAATGACTATGAATGTCACACTTATAATATCTCTGTATGCAGGAGCACTCCCTGTCCGGGTTTGAATGTGCATGTAAGAAGAAGCCCAAAACTCTTCCTATCTGGGTTAAAAACGGCATCAAAACTGTATAGTATCCACTGACCTTCTGTGTGAGACACAAACAGTAGGCCACCATTTATGTTGAACAAACAGGAATGAAAGGCATTTTTGTGTTTCAGATCATTGTTTTACCAAATCAGTTTCGTTTTAGGGATCGGAAATTTGTTGTATGATCACGTTAAAACAAAAACACCAACGGACAACCTGTATTAGACTTTTGATCCTGCGGAATGTGATATTCAGATAAATGCTTCTGGTTGCTAGACATGCGACATCAGATGGATTTCAAATAAATAGGCTATAGTTATATGTTTGCACAACCAACAAAAAGCTCAAAACAAGTAGTCTAGTTTATTTAATCAAACCAAATGAAATACACCGTGGTGCTTGTCAATTCTCACACCCTTTCACTTTAAAAATATTTAGGTCTAAAGATTAAAAAAGGACAATAAATCACAACTTGATAATATACAATATAACATTTTTCTTTTCATTCATTGTAGGCTTCTAGACATATTACAAGTTCAATTACAAATTCACTTTCTATAGTTTTAATAGGTTACACATACTAATACGTTGCTAAAAAGAGTCTTGTGTGAAACTTCATCAGTTCACATCGCTGGCCTCTTCAGGTCTGGTTGCGACAGATTTTTTAGGATCAACGCCAGGCACTTCATCCAAAGATTTCCGACAAGTCCGCACAATCCACTCATGTTCGGAGTCATCTGTTGGAAAGATTTTAAATGACATTATTGAGATTTTTTGCAAATACTATTGGAAACAAAGTTTACAGTGAAACTGCATTGTTTTTCTAAACGTTTGACCTATGATTGAATAAGGAAAAAAATAGCCTACACACCGCAGATTAAAAGGTGCACAGCAGTGAGACGTGCTCATTTTGTTCAACTCACTTAAAGCGTTCAAATCAAATCTCTAATAATCAGTAGCCTGCATAATTAAACCACAGGTCATTTCTTGTGTGAGGCTGCAACAGTGAAGTGCCATTCAAGGCTCGGGTAAATTTGTCAAACCAAGATAAGCCTGACAATTAGGAGAAAATAACTTCTCAGAGCCACTTCAGACACCAATAAATAACCTCCAAAAATGGTCGCCAATCTTTATTAAACAGAAACGAGTGCCAGAGGAGCTGATAATAAACCAGTTTTTCATTGTTAAAACTGAAATGAGTAGCTAATTGCAGGGGAAGTGAGCTTTCTCTGGAGCGCCCGCAGCTGCACGCACTTGAGCAGCTCGCGGGCCTCACGCGCAGGTTCCACTGCGCGCGGGGCTCCATTGTATAGAGGATCAGGTCTGCGGCTCTCGGACTGATTGTGTGTAATTGCCAGCGATGGGCGTCAACACTAACAGCCACTTCAAACATACAACCATAACCCCCCCCCTCCTTTCTTTCTACCTGTTCTGACCGGGAGGTCAATTTAACATAGCTATCGTACACGCGGGCAGCTGCCACGCAAACATTCTCAGTCTTTGTGACACCACTTGTTAGTGAAAAAGGTAATTATTTAGGCCCATCCTTGCTGCGTTTAAACCGACCTCAATTAGCCACAAACCTGCCTTAATGGTAATTAGATTGGGACATTTTCATATTTGCTGTAATTCTGCCCTCTTGAGTTTGTATAGCAGCGTTTATCTCAGGGTGTAAGTCATGTGCAATCAGTACAGGTGGCTGGTATATTTAGGTAATTTCCTGCAATTTGAGGACAGCAGGACATTTTTGTGATTTACCAGTTTTTGTAAGTCAATACATTTAGATCTACCTAAAGATGCTTTTCATCAATTCTGTGAAATGAGATATTGCAGTTTGACTAACTCAAAAAACATAAATAAATAAATCAAATCTGCGAGTGTTAGCTTGTATCATCACCTTAATGTTCAGTGAAGTGCAGCACACAACACACGCTTATTTATTAAATAGTATTTTGGTTGACAACCTTCTCGACTGTTACAACCTGCATGGACAACCTTTTGTGCAATGTACACATAGGAGAGAGAGAGTGTGGAAGCCATAATGGCACCTTGTTAAAGTCTGTTTATCTTAATCCTTAAATACACTCAGAGGGGAAAGTGTTTCCTTCCAGCCTAATGGCTGCGAAGAGACACAAACACCCAAGGCCTACACACAAAGACAGACACGCTGGTTTGATTAGCAAAAAGCAAAAATCTGTTTTCTTGTACCATAGTCATTTGCATAAGAGATGATTGCATTCTGCTGGATTTGATGGTGAAACACAAAGGCAGCACTCACAGAAGCAGGAGAGCTATGACTGTGATGCCATCAAGAGACAAACTCTGAACCTGGTCCACTGACGGCATTAATACATACACATTTTGCGGTTTCCAAGTGGAGGCACCACAGTGAAATCAAACTTACTTAAATGTGAAAGCTCAAATAAACATTCAAATGTACATGCATAAGTCATCTGTATCCAATTCACTGCAAACGGAGCGGCCCTTGGTTTTATGTCTTGATGACATCACAGGAAAAACAGCGGCGGCCTTTCCGGTTTTGAGCTTTGAAAGAGCGATACGGATCTTCAGAACTATAAATCCATCTGTCACAGCTCACAGGATTAATGTGTGGATCCTGTTTTGTGGTAGTTATTATTTTTTCTGTCTCAAAGATGGATGAAAAATTAGACCTTCAGGAAAGGCAGCATGAGGATTTGTTCCACTCCCCAGGGCCCTGGCTGATTTTATCTGTCTGTGAAACACCTCGGCTGGACGGGGACAAAGGGAGGGGCTGCGGTTTGGTCACCAGAGGTGTTTTCCTTGGCAGTGGAATGTTTTCAGTGTGGAGCTCTTTCTGTGCGGACTTTCAAAGGGAAGTGGTTATTCCAGAAACAGGAAAGTGCTACAAACAATATGGCAACACATGGCCCCTGCTGGAGCTGCTGCCGCCCCCTGCACCGCTGCCGACTGTTGCTGCCTGTTGCCAAGAGAGAATATACACAACTGATTGTGTGTGTTTGTTTGTTTATAATAACAGAACACGCTCAATCAGCCAGTGGTGGAGATGTGATTGTGCAGATGTGGCCTGCTTGTTCTTTTTTTATTGCACTTTTTTAGAGTAATGCAAATGTTTCACATCTTACCTTCAAACCTAAGTAACAATCTTCATCAGCAACAACAAATTAACTCCAATTATGTGTCTCTGGAAGTTTGGGGGAAAGCAGATAAAAATAACCTTCTTTGAGTTGTTTGTTGATTGTGTGATTTGTGTTTCAGATTTAGCAGTAATCATTTCATTGTGTTGCAGTCTGTTGGCTTTATTTAAGCGGCGCTGGTTAACGACAGTGCACCTCACTGTCGCAGTAAGTTGAAGCACATGTTTGTTGTAATGATTTTATGTCACAGAAGTTCTAATTAAAATAATTCTAACCACAATTATTGAACTTCATCACACAAGCAAGTGTTTTTAGTGAAATGCAGTTTGGTTTAAATTAAACAGTTCTTCCCTCCTAGCCATCCCATCTTCACTCTGCTTAATTCATAGATGAAAACACACCTGATGTCTGCCAGCATTGAGGCTTTGCCATAAAACTTGTGTTTACACAAGTGTATAGTGTGCCACATGACAAAATAACCAACATCCAGATTACCATCAGCTGCACAGGTCATCTTTAAAATGAGAAGACAATGACGGATTAGTTTGCCGGCTCATGTTTCGATGTGACTTAACAGTGTGCAGTTCGCTGACATGCTGTTTTATTCTTCTTTTCAGATTCGCTGGTTTACCCACATAGTGAGAAATAAGCTGAAGACATGGCAAACTGCAGTGTAATATGTAATGACTCATCGCTGTGGTGTGTAAAGTAGAGTTTGGATGAAGAAGGTTGGGAAGAACGTCAGCCAGAAACAAAGTCTGTGATCCCTGAATGTTCATCTTCCACCTGCAGTCACTCATCACTGACTGACACACACACGCACGCACGCACATGCACGCACGCACGCACGCACACACTCAAGATGTTCTTTTCCTTCCCTTATCTATGTATTGCAGGAGATGACTTTTACAGCTGAGATGTCTGTCTCCTGGCCTGTCTACTTTTCAAACAAATTGTTCATAAAAGAATAACTTAAGTTCATTATCCAAACAAATCACTGATATCTGGACGATGATGTGACTCCCTGCCTCTCAAAGGCTGTAAACCCCAATGAGCAGATACATGAACTTGGAATTGTAGATACGAAATAAAGCATGATTATGTGTGCGAATGGCTTTTCTTTCCTTAAATTAAACAAATTTAATTAAGGAGAAAATTGGAAGCTCTGAAGCAATGTCCAATGTCAGGCCAGTTGCTTCATGTATCAGTAAAGGAAGCCACTTGTCATCCTCTACAGGTTAAAAAAGACTGCTCCCTTTTTCTCGTGGAGTAATTTTGGTCAACGGCCAGTGACGACTACTCTAATCCATGAAAATGCTCCCTGGTCCTTGCCCAAAACCAGTGAGTACATTTATTTGTGTGATGAGTTTTTGCAGGACTTGTCTGGTGGACAGTTTAGAATTGGAACCAGTCTATTAATGTACAATGTTTTTTTAAAGTGTTGAGCGGGCCATCAAGTGTACGGCCATTGTTAGCATTGTTTGCATTGCATTCATCTGGCAAACGCTTTTATCCAAGCTGACTTGTATTTGGAGAGCAATTTGGGGTTCAGTGTCTTGCTTGAGGATACCTCGACATGTGGAACAAGCCACCGACCCTACAGTTAACGGCCGACCTGCCTTACCACCTGAGCTACTGTATAACCAGCCCAGAAATTCTAAATTCTAAATTTTTAAGTAATTGTACGAGGTAATGTAAAACCAGGATCCGTAAATTATGGATCACTGCAGAGAGTCAGTGTTTCAGGGATGTCACAGCTTGGGGGGGTTCCCACTTAATAATCCCAACTGACACACTTGCTCTCACCACCCTCCTTTTCCTCTATCATCTTCATGTCTACATGCTGTACCAGTATTCTTGACATATTCTTGACATCCATGCAGGCGTATCGGCAGATCCTTGATGACAAGAAATCGGTTCAACTCCAAAAATAATCTTTAACCTCCTGGGGAATATTAGCAACAGATCCTATTGTTTTGCTACTTGGCACTATGCCGACAAGGACTGTTTGTCCAAGTTAGCAACAGTAACTAAGCAGAGCAGGACTTTGCAAATAGGTCAGTTTTGGCCAATAAGTAAAGTTTAGCCTGATATTTCCTAGCAACGACATTCAGTTCAAGGGAGAAAAACTTGAATCATCTGCACTTTCAAAGCAGTTCCATACGCATCATTTTTGCAACATTTCCAGATTGGAGGCGTTGTCTTCACTGGCTCATGTCTTCCTTGTCCTACATCCACCAGTTGTAACGGCTACACGGGGAGCTCCTTCCTCTTTCCTTGCTGCAGCAAACGTCCCCTCTGGGGGGGTGGGCCTTCCCTGTGTCCCATCACCCCTCACAGACTTCATCCTGGGCGGAAGCCATAAGGCAATAAATTCTGTCTTCACACCCACTCTGACAAATGTCCCTTCACCTCCCAGAGTGGAAAACTAAAATCATACAGGAGCATTCCTCTCAAGAACTGTATACCAAGACAAGAGGGGAAGCACACATAAGTAGTGTATGGGATACATAGCACAAGCCACATATAGACAATACATCCCTCCACACACTTGCACATAAACACTGTCATAAAAAGGCACACATCAATTAAATAGTTCCTGTTTGACTCCATATTTAGTTAATCCAAAACAGAGAGAATTGTTGGAAAGTGTTCAGTTCCTCTTTATTTTCATCTCCCAAAAAAACCTTCCTTCTCATGCTCTCTTCGTCTTTATGTCTCGCTCTCTCAGTCACTCCACTGATCAATACCAGAGCTATAATGATGATGAACAACCCGCATCAAGGAAAGAATCGCAAAACATATTTTTGTCTTCTTACGCACGCCGATGACATCTGGCGAGGATGTGGATCTCCTCCTCTGTTTCCTTCTGTCTCTACACATATGTAAATGAGATTTGTGTACTTGTGGAACTAATCTGTATTATGTTGCAAGTAGCTCATCAGAATAGAAATATTCAGTGCCCCAAAAATACATTTCTACCTTAGGGAATTTGTTAGTCATACCTTAACTTCAGCCAGGAATCACATCTTGACACAAGTCTGCATTTGTAAATAAAACTCTTGCATGATTGTACAACACCCCTGTGCATGCATGTGACTGCTATGTTTATGTACTGTAAAGCATGTGTCCAATAAAAATGGTAACATCAAACACCTTTGATGCACACCAATACAACTGGGCTAAACTGTAGTTACCCAAAAGCTATGCATGTCAGAAACTGCATTCATAACCCGCTGCCTAATTCACAACATCGTCTAGTGATGTAAAATCATGGGAGACATGACGTGCTCAGAATTTGGGAGTTCCTATCTGGACACCTGACAGACCGCATTCACGTCAAATCAGGAGTTCCAAAACTGGGCACTCGTTCAGTGGAAAAAAATGTGTCTTGAATTTTCCACTTTTGACACATAAGAAAAAAGACTGCAATGGCCTATAGAAGCGTGCTTATCAGATGACTTGTAGCTATAATCTTCCATCAGAGAATCTAGGGATAATCCATTTAACATCACTCCATAGGTTCATTCTTATCAAATGCTTCCCATATGGCCACACTGTATGCTTTCAGAGATGCAGTTATTATAAAAATGGGTGAACACAAAGAGGTCCTGCCTGAGACAAATTTAACACAAGAGCCTTAGTGTGTTTCAAAGCATTTTCACTTTTTCTATGGTCTTAGAAAAGTCGAGTTGTTGAAAGGAAGACATAATTTTACACGGAGCTGCTATCTTGTATGACAAGACAGCAACAAATGACTCCCTCCGTACTAATTTGGCTGATTGTATGGCTTTAAACTCTTCAATCATATTGAGGTGTAAGCGTGAGCGGCCATTTCTTTCCTGGAATAATTCAGCATACTTCTGTACATCAGTGTTTCTCATGATGCATGTTCAAACAAACAAAAAATTACATATTCCACTTTATCATATAACTGTGTGCCTGTTCATGTGTTTGCCGCTTTAAAAGAGCACTCATACAAACTGTTAGCTTGACCATATGTGCACACTAACTAAAGCAGGTTTTGGAAACAGGTTCAATCATTAGCCACATGATTACTGGAATTTTGATCAATTATGCAAACAAACAGTGCTGCTTTATTAAGTCACTGTATCAATACATTTAACATAACAGCAATCTATCACTGACAAGGTGCTTCATTTGAAATACATACTTTGTATACTTAATTTGAAATGGAAATATGTGTTTGCTCTTGACTTTCATCTTTGAAATTGTATTTGGCACAACAAGCACAAAGATGCCTGGATATTACCCAACACTCAGATGGAGCCAATTTAGCGTCAAATTAGTGGGAATAAAAAACGTGCACAAACTACACTGAAGAGTGACATAAGCAGAAAGAGAAGGATTACGTGTACATGTCATCTCTGTCTCACCTGCATTCCTGAGGAATCTGCCAGTGTAGGAGTGGACGACTCTGGTATTTGGGTCATAGAAACCATCTCCACAATCGTAACATCCATCAGGAATGATGAGTGGCGGATGCAGATCAGTTAGCTGAGATTCTCCTGTATGGACAAAACAGTTGTTTTGCTTTGCGCGGAAATCTTCCCTAACAAAAGTCATTATTATCAGCTGGAGGAGGGGCTCTGTGAAGAAGATTTTGTGTTCAAACCTCAGCCCTTTCTAATGGCTTTCACCTTATGTTCCCTAAGTTGATGGTGTCAGGTAGATTGCTCAAACATGTTAAGTGGTGTGTAGTATATCTATGTGTCAGGCGAGTGACACGAGGTGAGGTACACCATGACTCATTAAAAGGTAGTCCTAAATGATCTTGTTAGCCTCTAAAATCTGGAAAGTGTAGTGAAATACAAAGAGCTGTTCAGGTTTAACTCAAAAAGATATAAAGCCAACTTAGTTATCCGGCTTTGTGAGACATGTGCATTCAGTATAACAATACAAGAACGTATGCCTGCCAGTTAATGGCTTTGGGTGTTACTCCTCTAACTCACACATGCTCCCAATCTTAATTCATTAACAGCATTTTCAATTTAGCCAAAGTTCATTGTGTTTTCAAGATAAATTATGTGAGTGTGTTTGTGTGGGAGTAGCAGTGAGAAGAAATCCCTGTAGTCTGACAGAATCCATGAGAAAATAAATGAATTCCAACCTGCAGGTCTGAGTCCATTACACCTCTCACTGTAGAAGCGCCTGTCGTAACCATCGCAGTAGTCCCAGTCCTTCTCTTGATACTGCAGACCATCAGCAAAGGTGAATGACCCCTTGTGAGGTAGCACAATGATGAATTACCCTCACTCTTCAGTCAATTCAACTAAATTACAAAAAGATTCCAAACAAAACACAACATCCACTTACCTCTATGGTGTCTGGCCATGCAGACAGTTTAATTTAAAACTGAAAAATGAATCATTCACCAATGGGAACAATGTCACTCAAGATAATCCACAGACCTCACTGTTGATGGTCTGAGGTTTATCCTACGTAACCCAGACATGGTTTCTGGAAACATATGTTGCTGTTGAGGTTTTGAAATGTCACTTTTCAGTACTTTAAGCTCCACAAAATAATTTTAAATTTATTCCATTGTCTTTGCATTAAGGCAGAAATCTTATAGATGGATATCTCAAAGCCTCAGCAGATAAAACAAAAACTGTCTGCATAGATATATACAACTAGGAGAAAGTGGAAAAATATGTCTTTTGGTATTTTGGGTGAAGACACACATTGTGTGTTTGCGTGTGTGCATGTTTGTTTTCTGAGGAATGATACAACTGTTAGCCTACTTGGAATGAAAAATAAACATACTTTGTTCAGTAATTTTGCTCAGCTGGACACAACAGAATCTTGTTTTCAATTTCAACAATATAATTTGCAGTCATGGAAGTGGCACTAATTCTGATTTCATAACATGCTGGTTTTTGAGGAGTGCATATTTGGTGGGAGATCAAATACAAATTTAAAAAATAAAAAAGAGAAGAGACCCACAGTAAAGGGGTGAATTTTGAATAATAGGTTACAACTGATGTGATAAAACATGCTAGATTTGTCCATAGACATTTTATTCATAGCAGATATTTGGACTGGTCATTGCAGGAGAAATACAGGCTTAAGGATGCTTCAGCTTGTGTCCCATTAACCTGTCCTGGAACATCAATGGAATGTACCCTTCATTAATATTAAATAGTACACCTGTTTTTTTCCTGTTATGATGTGTCAAAATGTAAATGTATGCAGTAGCATAATTCTGTTAACCTGCACCAGACATAATTAGAGGTCACTGTTCATTTTATGTTGCTTTTGTCCCTTTAATGTCATAACACTTTTTGTTGCAGTGACATTTACACTTCAAACACAAAGTTTCTAGTAAAACATTTGTATTACTAGACTTTCTTACACATTAACACACACACACAGTGGATCTCAGCCATTTCGGATTATGACCCTTTAAAATGCTTGTTTTGTTGCTGCTATTTTCACTCCACTTCTATTAATAGAGCCAGAAATGGGTAGCACTACACACTTTGTAATATATCAGCAACACCATGTTCACACCGCCTAATAATGAAAATGTCTGCATGTATAAAGAGTATTTCATTTCATTTCATTTCATGCACAAATCTGGCATATTGCACATATTTGTTGTTAATTGTTTTTAACAATTAACAACAAATGACTGACTTTTATATTTTGTCAATTTAAATATTTATGTACACAATATTCTCTTCCGATGCAATACGTCTGCACAATACAAACCAGGAGTAATGCACAGGTAAATATATGTCACATTATTCTTTCTCTGCAAATAGTTGTATTATTTTTCTCTATTCTTTTATTTTTCTTATATAACTTCCATTTGTTTATTCCATATTTATATACATTTATTTATGTCAACTGTATGTTTGTCTAAGTGTAGCACCTTATCACCAAACCAAATTCCTCAAACGTGTAAAATACTACTTGGTAATAAAGCTCCTTCTGACTCTGATTCTGATTCTTAAAGGAACAGATCTGCTCTTTTTGTGTCAGTTACTGTGTTGTGTTGTATGGTGTCTTGTCATTTGATTGTTGCATTTTGTTAATTTATATGCTCTGTATATGAACTTGAACTTGACTTGATTTGGTCAATGAAACAGGAAAAATAAATATGGGTCCGGGATCCTTAACCTCTTGGCTGAGCAGTATTGTTTGAAGGTAGAGGTGCAAGTTGCACAACATTATTTCCAGTTTGAATTTTTGAGTTTATGGGATGACTTAGTTGTGTTCTGAATGGAAGTAGGTTTTCTTGGTCTGGCATGAATGCAGGTGCAAGGTAGTGTGGGAAAAGGTTAGTCATGGTTTAGAGCTGCTATCATTTCAAACGAACCGCAACTGAAATGATGATAATAATTGGAGTGATCGCTGTTGTGGTAAAAGCCCGTGAACGATTGCATCAGAGCAGGAGAGGCTGTATGCGGGAAAAACGGAGGGAAACCTAATAACTACCACAATAATGGTGAGTGATTGCTAAAAGGGACCAGATGTAATATCAACTATAACCAATGTGAAACACACAAGAGCCACGCAAGTGGATGCACATATTCTGGCATGCATGCAGGGACACACAGAACTCCTCACCTGTTTAGCTATGCCGTTCTCCCAGGTGGCCTCATATTTACTTCCATTTGGAAAGTGTAGCACTCCTTTGCCGTGAAACATCCCATCTTTCATCTCTCCCACATACTTGGAATTTGTGGGAAAGGTGTAATCTCCTTTTCCATCCATCCTGGAGGAGAGAAGAGAAGAAAGAGACCACACAGTGCTTTGTCAGCGCTTGCACTTCATATAGCTTGAATCAGCAGTGTGATTTTATTAACTTGATTGCATATCCTGCTGTCTTTAAGGTTATGAAACAGATATTAACTTACCTGCCATTTTTTGTATCTCCTTTGTAACTGCTACCGATGAGCTCCATGTGCTGCTAAAAAGAGACAAACAATTAAAAATATATAAAATATAAACCATCGATTTATTATCGACTGGGCAAGACCATAGCAAGACAACACAATTACCGTTACCATGGCAACGCGACAACAGAGATCCACGGCGACAGGTTTGAAAAGCATGAAGAAGAAATCATCTTTTGTCACAGTTTGGTCGTTATAACAATTTTGAAATTAAACTTAAAATAAGTTTACAAAACTGAAATTCTTCCGTTTTATATTTCCCTTAGAAGTGCGCATGCGGCAACGGGCTGCGGTCGCGCTCGCGGCTGCGTCATCACACCGCGCCTCCCAGCTGACAGCAACAGCAAACCAAACTGACCTTCTTCGCGGCCTCGTCGCTCGTCCTGGAGTCAGACGAGGACCTTGAATGTTTTTCAGCAGCGGTATTTGATTTTTCTGCGTTAACTTTTATAGAACAGACACACAGCCATGCCCACGACGCTGGAAGTCCCCTCACTGCAGGAGCTCAACGTGGATGAGGTGAGCAGTGGTTATGAAAATTATACCATGACAAAACAAGCGAGCTAACTCGTTAGCTAACGCTAGCCGATGTATGGTTCGTGATATGCCCAGTAAGTTAGCTCAATAACTTTGGCCACCTGCCTGGTGAAAGACAATTAGACAACCTAGATTGATCATGGATCCGTTAGTGATTATTTCTGAATGCAATTGAAGCCGGTGAATATAACGTTACTTTGCTGGCATCTGTATGAAATCCACCTTGGTAACATTAACATTAGATAATGAAAGTATGCAGAAACTCATTGGTTGTGAACCATCGTTAAGGTTGTGTTGGACACTTCATAGTCCGTATTACCTCTTCACTTATCCCCTGTGGTGACAATAACTTCACAAGTTGCCCCAAAACAAACCTCTGGCCGGTTTATGTCAGCTGCAGTGATATTTGGCACATTGAACCTGTCCTTGGAAGTCAGGTGTGCTCTGGGAGCAGCATGTATTTTTCCAAAACTATTATGGGAGGATCAAGGATAATAAAGGAAACGCTGGCCGAGAAAATAAATGTTTGCCCACTGAGAAATCGCTCAGACCTCATAGCTGCATCTTAATGTTTTTGTAGACAGAAGTTTAGTAAACAATATCCAACATTTAGGCGAAAATTGTGTTTAAAGGTCTTCCCAGATGGCTACAAATGTACAGATTCTCTACACTGGATGAATATTAAATTGATCCACAATCTTTGATCAAACACAATGTTTTGACTCTTTAATGGGGGTCAGGCTACATTAAATAATCCTTTACCTTAAAATGTTAAATTATGTCTTAGTGTATCTGTTATTTGGTAATTAATAAATAATGTTTACCCTGTCTTTGTTTTCCATGTGTCTGCTCCTGTTTCTGTCCAGATCAATGTGTCATCTGCAGTGCTGAAGGCTGCTGCCCACCACTATGGCTCCCAGTGTGACAAACCCAACAAGGAGTTTATGCTCTGCCGCTGGGAGGAGAAGGACCCCAGAAAGTGTATGGAAGAAGGGAGGAAAGTCAACGAGTGTGCGCTCAACTTCTTCAGGTAAGTCACATTCAGGGTTTTCAACCTTTTTGTTGCCAAATACTCCCTAGTATAAGACACAAAAACTGAAACTTCTAAGGCCCAATCCACAGTACTCCGTTTTACATTACATTTACTCATTTAGCTGACTTATAATTGCTATACATGTCAGAGGTCGCACGCCTCTGGAGCAACTAGGGGTTAAGTGTCTTGCTCTGGGACACAATGGTGCATGGGTCACAGTGGGGGATTGAACCCGGGTCTCTCACCACCCCATAGATTTAGTTAACGGAGAATTAAAACAAATATGATCTCTGTCCACACCAGCATTTTAGCTGCGTTTTGGAGTTGATCTCCGTCTACATTAAAACGACTGAAAACGCACATCTAGTGCCCGTTCAGGAACACTGGGCATGTGCGTGTTGGTGTAAACATGAAGCAGATGGTGTATTCCGTAGTTACAGAAAATTTGGCAAAAGAATTAAGTAATGCAGATGAATCAGAATCAGAACAATTTTTTTTTGCATGCACCAATAACGAGCTGGGACTGTTACTGAATGTAACACGGGAGTGTGGCGGCAGAAAACAGACAGAAAGTAAACAGCGACATGCACAGTACAAGTGTAGGCAGATCGTGTTTCTACTTTGCGTTACTTATAAGACCCAATCAGAGAGCTGAGCGTGAGCGACTGCGCCATCGTTTCTAAAGTCCTCCGTTTTTGCCCGTCTTCACTAAAATGCCCTCCGGAGTTTTGAAACACAAAACGTGGTCGGCAGCGTTTCCAAACTTCTCCATTTTAGGTCTTCGTTTTGGCCATTGTAGTCTGGATGGGAGGTGCAAACGTAGCAAAACTCATTAGTGTGGATGGGGCCTAAGAACATTTATTGTGTGTGTTTTTTTTCTAGAGATTCAATACAAAAAAAGTGAATTAATCAAACATGTTGGTAACCATGAATAGACTAGAAACGTATTGATTAGGCAGAATATATAAATGTTTGGAGATGAAGGCAGCCAAAGTGGTGTCATCTGCGAAAGTGAACAGTGTACTTGTGATGTGAGTGGTTGAAGATGTGACTGAAGACTGGAGCCAGCTGTCAAGAGTTTGAGAGTCCGTGTGAAACCCTGGTCAAAAGAGGTCTGCGGTCCAGATTTTTTGACAAGTGGGACAAAGTATTCTCTGAGGTCGCACATACTGCTGTTGGACAGTCGTCCTTCCAGGGGTTACGGTTGTTAAGTTTACAGAGAAAGACGATTTCAGAGTTGGGATGTCTTGTTTCTGTTTCTCTAACTTGATAGTACCTGATAATAAGCTTTCCATTCCATTGGCTTTTAGTCGAAGTGGGATGTAGGGGCCAGGCTTTCCTGAATGATTTGCAGTTAAACACTGGTGATGCAAAGGTAGGAGAGGAAAAGGTTGGTGATAATTACACCATCTGGGATCTAGAAAAAAGAAGAGTGGGGATTAAGATAACTTCTTAATTCTGTTCTAAACCAAATGTGTGCTGTTTATACTGATTGGTGAGAATTTGTAGCAGAATTTGATGCCTTCTGATTATCCACAAGGTATTGAAGAAATTCTTTTTGTGAATGTCAAGAAAGCTCCAAAATACCTCGAAAAAGTAAAATGAAGGTCAAGGCATTTTTTACACATGAACACAAGAATAAAACCCTTCACAGGTGGCATAGGCTGTGTGTACAACGGAACTTTTAAAAGTGTGAAGGTATGATGATGAGTTTATGCTTCATGGGATGACAAAACTGGATTTGTTTTAGAAAGCAAAACTACCCACAGCAGAAATTTGGTCAAACTTTCAACGACTTTAACTTTCCTGGGATGCTGCCAGATGTATCAGAGTTATTTTCCATTCTGTAAGTGTACTTTGTCAGAATAGGAACCTTACAGCTGTCTGTATTTTTGGATCATTTGTACTATCTTATCGAGTCAGTACTTATCCCCGCAAAACTTTGAAATTTATATTCACTTAACTTTATATTTATTTCTTCTTCAAATTCTCTATCAATGATTGTTATCTTGAAAAAAATTTAAATAAATCATTAACCAGTTATTACTAACACATGATGTAGAGAACACCTTTATGCTATTTTCTGTGCTACTTTAAAAACAACAACAATGACCAGTAGAAAAAGGGTTATACCCTTTTTAAAATGATGAAACATTAATAAATACAGAGTTTATTGTGTCTGTAAAACTGCCCTTGACGGCTATTTGAGGAAGTGGTCTGGGGTTTTTCACTCTGTGAACTGCTGTGTCTGTGTTTATGCTTCGGTTATACCCTGATGCCCATGCAGTAACTAAGGTGCTTTTGTGTGCGTCTCAAACAGTGTTTCTGGTTCTAAAAACACATGACCTCTAATTCTAAAGCTGAAACAAACAACCGACACTCTGACCCCAAAGATAAACTGAGAGTTACTGTGAAAGGGCAATACCTGTAATTATTATAATGAGGAGAGATTTGAGAAAAGTTGTAATTGCACCTGGGACATGGTTGGATTCTTAGGTGTTTCTGGCAACTGCCAGACACCTTTAGGAGCACTTCATTCACATGACCCGCTCAGATTTTCAGATTCTGCAAACCTCAGAAATCTTTTGACTAGTGAGAACTGACAAGTCATAAACCGCAATTTAATGAAAGCGCTTTACATGTTTGGAGTGTGGATTTTCAGTTTGAGCAGTGTAGGCTCAGAATAAAATTATTTATTATGAAATGCCTATCTTATATCATTTTTAAATATTGGTTTTGTTCCCTCTGCTCAGTCACAATATCTCTTTAGGGTTCCAACTCATTTATAGCAACAGTTTTCTGGATTATTTTATTTAATTTAATCTTGCATATTTGATTCTGATTAAAATCTCTGCACTGCTCCTTGTAGGCAAATCAAGGGAAACTGTGCCGAGTCCTTCACGGAGTACTGGACCTGCCTAGATTATTCGAACTTGGCGGAACTGCGCCGTTGCCGTAAGCAGCAGCAAACCTTCGACAACTGCGTCCTTGATAAGCTGGGGTGGGAGAGACCTGAGCTGGGAGACCTGTCTAAGGTGAGACTTGGTAGGGATCGACTGTGCATTCACAATGTCAGCGGCTTCGTTGATGGGCTCTATTCTTGCTGATTGTGGGCTGTGCAAGGATCTGATTGCATCTCCTTAGTAGTCTCATTAAGCTACAGTTTTGAGCAGGCAAATCATGTATTTTATTTTGCTTTGGTTTTGCTTTTCACAAAATTGCCATTTTTAAGGGGCTTGCATAACTCACTGACAAGCACTAATTAGGTAGCAGAACCAAAAACTTTTCTTTTTTTTTCCACAATTGCTTTTCGGACATTTATTTCTGTAGTGTTTGAAAAGACACTTGCGAAACCTAGGAATCAGTGAATGGCTGTAATCACTTTTCTGGCCATTTTGTGCTTGCCGGGCAGAGCTGGTGTTCACAGAATCACAAACATGAGCGCGGAAACAAAAGATTTAAAATCTGATCTGACTTCAGATTACTATGAAAAAATGTCCAAGTTGACTGCCCACACACTGGCTGCATTTCTCTTGTTGCTTAGATATATAACAAATGAAAAGACTTTGTTACTTATTTTTGAGATGGTGGGAGTAAGGTAACCATTCATGTTTGGAGAAATACAAGAGCAACCAGAAGGAGAGAATAAAGAAAAGACAGACTGGACCCAGAACTCATGTAAATAGAGAGGGAGGAGGGAAGAAGCTGTAAATGCAAGGGTCTTGGAAAACCTGGAAATTTCCTGGAAAGTATGACGTCATCCCGGTCGGTCATACCAGCTCGTTCATTACTGAAAATATCCTGGGTAATTTGATCTCTACAAAAGAGTGGGAACCGTGAGTATGTAGCAGAGATGCTCACAAGTCTTTGAGCTAGAGTCCAAGTCAAGTCTCAAGTCTCTCGTGGTTATTACGAATGCTGTATCACCTGCTGCGTTCAATCCAGGTTGCTAATAAAACTTCATAGCTATAAGGAATACTGAGAGCACAACCATGTAATGTGCAATGCAATTAATGACAGCTTATTAAATACTGTAAGTCAATAAAACTGTGACATTGCATAATCAAGTCTGTTTTTCTTAGAGCACAACCATGTAGCCTAATGTACAATGTGTCTACAATTAATGACAACTTATAAACTACTGTAAGTCAGCAAACCCTGTTGACTCTCAAACCCAGTGTAAAGTTAACTAAATAAAACTGTAAAGTTACATGGTCAAAAATAAAGCTGTAACATGTTTTTAACTTACAGAGCACAACCTGTGCAATACAGTTAATGACGGCTTATAAACTACTGTAAGTCAACACATCCTCCTGACTCTCAAATCAATAAATTGTAACCTGTTTTTCACAGAGCACAACTATAATGTGTATTGCACATTATGACAGCTTAAACTACTTTAAGTCAACAATCCACTAGACTCTCAAACCAGTGTAACGTTATAAGTAAATAAAACTGTAAGGCTACATGATCAACAATAAACCTGTAACCTCTTTCCAGCCAACGGCAATAATTATCGTGATGGCAGGCAGCGGGACGTAAATAATTACGTTAATCGACCACCATAAGTTTGGCACGTAAACAAACGCTCATTCATCTTTTCATAACGAACGACAGACAGAGTAAACCTCTCGTAGGTCGTAGCTGAAGCAAGAAGCAAGCTAACGTTAGATGGCCAATGCTGAGCTAAATATGTTCACTCACCACAGGTTACTAACCTATTTGCGTTCAGCGCGTCTTTGTTTGGATGTTGTTGTATGAAGTTTTAAAGCCAAAGTTTATGATGAATGGCACAGCAGCTGCCAGGGTGTTTTTGTCCTCTGTCACGTGCGGCCGCGCGCAGCAGATGTTATGTAGGCAGGTTATAGGTAACGGAGGGAGGGAATAACAGCAAGCTCATAAGAAGTTTCCTAAAAATAAACATTGTTCACGAGTCCCGCGCCTCGAGTCCAAGTCGAGTCTGAAGTCTTTTGAGGACGAGTCTCAAGTCGAGTCTGAAGTCACTGTGTGTGCGACTTAAGTCGCACTCGAGTCTGAGTCTCTAACTCGAGTCCCCATCTCTGGTATGTAGGGTTTCATCCAAGAAAAAAAAACTACACAAGGTGTTTTTATTGATAAGATTTTTTTTTCTTTTTAAAGCCCTGCTTTAAAGTCTGTTTGTTCATTCTTTAATTAGAAGAAGATGACGACAACATACTCCATTTAGTATTAGATCTCTCACAGATTTTACAGAATAGTTTGATATTGACACAATATACAGTATATGTTGTACAATTCACTGACATGTAAGGTAGTTGTTTTGTTTTGAGTCATTTGCATTAATTCTGATTTCAAGAAGAGTTGAGCCCTTTTAAACATTGCATCACTAAAACTGAGCATGTCCACCAAAATGTCCTTGCAGGGCACTGTTAATTCATTGTGTCTACACTGTGTATGTCTGACAATTCGTGCTGTGCATGTCCCCTTTCTTTCGTAGGTGACCAAAGTGTCGACCCCGCGGGCCCTCCCTGAGAACCCTTACCATTCTAGACCACGTCCTGAGCCCAACCCAGCCATCGAGGCAAAACTGGAGCCTTCCAAACATGGCAGCAAGTTATTCTTCTGGAACTGGTGAGGCAGTACCAGAAAGTCAGTCACCTCCCAAAGCCATGGCCTCTGTCCAAAAACAGCTAGACTACTTGATACAGCAAATGTTCTTCAAAAGGTTTAAATCTTTGCAAATCCAGACACGAGCATCAAGGATGCTGGTACCTTTTTATCTGTATATGGTCTGAGGGTTGGTTTTGGGCAGGGCTCATGTCCTAATAGTCTCTTCAGTAGCTGTACCTCCAGCTTCATCAAAAACAGTTTGATAAAGGAAGGAAGGATGGACAATTGTGTGAACAAAGTCCATGAATCCACACAGCTTTCATGACCACCTCTGTAAATGTAATGAGTGAACCAATGCAACATGTTGTTATTGTTGTCAAATAATAAAAAAGATAAATTATAAATCCAGGTTTCTAATGTCTTTATTTAAGGTTACATATGTTGAAGACTGAATGAAGAATGAAAAGATGTATACGTTTCCTAACGTTAGAAAGAGCAGCTATTGAGAGACTTTGTTGCCAGACACAGTTTCTTCAGTATCGGCAAATTAAGGCAACACTGCCGTGTTTGCACATCTGTGTTTTGTCAGCGTGTGTATTGTCAGACTGATGGAAGGTGAAGTTGGAGGTCAAGGTTGAGGGTCACTACCTGCAGCCAGAGAGTGCTGCTTCTGCTTCCTCCTTTTCTCCCAGCTCACTTCCTGCCTCTGACCTGCACTGGAAGAAGACTAGAAGAGTCATTTCAGAGACGCACAGTAAAGTATGTTATTGCTGCCGGCGCACGTGTGCATGCACACGCGTGCTCTTGACCCTGAGTCGAAGGAGATGAGAAGCCAACACAAAGGCACGCTGGCGTGTGGAATAAAGCGGACTGTGCCAATGGACACGCACACATGTCTCAGCGGGACTTTATCCAAGATCAAAGTTGAACTATAATGTGGTGAGGGAACTCTTTTGCAACCGTTACAAAAGAGCTCATATTAGCTGTTTAAAAACTATACTAGTAGTAGTAATGATGATTTGACTTTCTTCACTACAAACGTCAGGCAGGTTGAGTCTTTAACCCCTGCCATGTGGTTGATTTCTTTGGGGACCAATAGTGCATGATTTGACAGCTTTCTCATACTCAAATCTGGCCCCAGGGTGTTTTCATGTGATGTAAAAATGTCTTGTTTCAGTGCACAAAAACACACAGACTTGACTTTATAAGGGAGGTCAACAGCTATCTGCTGACAGTCACTGTGATTTTATTCAGAATATGTAAAAATACGCATTGAGTTTCTTTTGTCTTGCTTATTTTAGATGGAGCATTGATATCATTCTTGGTGAATGTCTTCTATATGGCATGTTTTCAACATTTTTCCCACAAGTTTCTTTTTATCACAAAGTTCAACAGTGCACAGTCACAGCGTATTGCCAAAAACAACCATAGAGTTTCTGTGTGTACAGTAGCACCATGTATATGTGCAGACATGCAGGCATGTCTCCTTGCTTATATAGAGCGTCACTGACAGTAGTTGCAGAAATCCCCTCACAAGGTGTGGTCTGGACCTGCAGCTTGCACAGGAAACGCCTGACAGACCCTCTTCTGACCTGGACAGTGGGACAAAGGGAGGAGGGAAGAAGGGATGCAAAAAGGAAAGGAGGTGTGGACAGAGGGAAACCTGGAGGAGAAGGGGGCGAGGACATACAGGAGGTGGCAAATAAGAAAATATTGAAGTAGGGGAGGAAGGAGGTAGATAGAAGAAGGATGATGGGAGAGAAATCAGAGTAAGTTAGTAACAGTTAAAGGGAGGTATAAGAAAAAAGGGAAAAAAGGCACGGTGGGGATTGACTTGAAAGCTGACAGACAGAGTGGGGGTTCCGAGGTTGTTCAGTGGCTCCAGGGCTCGTGGCAGGCCCTTATCCATGCGACTTGCAGGAAGCAATGGGTCATCGTTTGACACGGCACCGCCACAGGAAACGGGCTCTGGCACAGGAAAGAAATACAATACAGGGCTTCACAAAGCTACGGCCAGCCTGGGAGCCTGACACGCTAAAATACTCAAACAACCCGGCTTGTTCATAACACGACTGTCAATATTCCCATTGTTCAGTGTCAAGTTTGACATAATAAAGTGAATGTTTGAAGTGGTGATGAGCACAAGCAGTAAAAGCAGGTAGATGTTTGTTTTCTCTTTCCCGGTCAATTCACCTGTGTTTGATACTGAAGATAGAGTTCAAGGAGACATAAAACTAATTTCTAATATTCAACAGTAAGTTCTTATCGGCTGGGATAGATAAATAGATAATCAAGTGCTTCCTGAAATCTTCTCCAGAAAATTTACATTGAGTTTACATTTTCTGGATGCATTCCTTTTGTATCAGTAACACTACAGTGCCCTTCTCTCCCATGAGACGTCTGCTGCATCCATGCCATTAAGAGCCCCTAACATGTGGGTGCACTTGATTCAACAAACTCTAAAATTTTACTATTTCGCTCTGTGATCTTTAGACTGTACTTGTTGTTGAGTGCTGCTTTCATGTCTCCTCTCATCCCCTCACAATGCATTGCGGCTTTGAACTGCCATGCAGGTTGCTCTATGTATAAAACACACAACCCCAGGCCACAAGTACCACCACTGCTACATCCATGACCACCACTCGCGGAGATTAATAATCTGAGAGCTTCAAAAACGTACTCATGCACATGTGCTCACTTACACGGCAGACATTGTTGTTTTTTTAATCTTTGTGTTTTCTGAGAGGAGCCATGCAGTCACATTTACACAAGATAGAACATCTCAGCAGAGTAAGATTTCATCTAGGCCTATCAGGTTTACCGCCACAAACTTCAAGTCTTTGTGGGGCCGGTCACGCCAGCAACAGTTACATTTTGGAGCAAAATTAATTAATTTCAACTGACAGGACCAACGTTTGAGAGAAAAGAGATCCAACAGTAAGAGATGTGGTGGACAGTTGAAATGTATTTATGGTCTTTCACTGTCTGGTAAAAGCTAAATTCTTGCTTATAAAGCTGTTGCATTGCTAATGCTCATTTTACCCAACCCTGAGTTGTTTTGATATTGATAATGCGAAATACTTTTAGTATTAAATAAATATTAGTACAGGACATTTTAGAATATTACATTTAAGGGGTAAAAAGAACAGATTGAATTTGTCTCGCCACTTGAGGGCGATGAAAACAAGCTGTAAACACAACAATCACCTTTTACATCAACTTGTTAGCAAACAGTGAGCCATTTACATCCAGCAGATTAGCATTCATTTGGAGTCATATTTCTGTCCACTCAACAAATGTAAGTACCGTATTCACTTTCCTTTTAGCTTTTGGTCTCCACTACCTCCTGAGAGATATGTCTGGCTCTTTTGCTGTTAAATGCTCAATATGTTTGTTAGCATGCCGCTAACGTTTTCTGTTCATCGTTTGGTGCTTGGCAGGTAGCATACAGTCTTTTTTTTAGAGCTTTTTCTCTGAAAACAGCTGCTGCTGAGGTTGGAAATGAGGTTGATGAACTTGCTGAGAGTGAACCATAACAGTAAAGTTGGGGGCCCGAAACCCTAAACATTGAGCAGAACGATGCTATAAAGCTCTGTAGAACTGAGGAGAACTCAGACTTGGGTCCTAATCGTCGGCCACTTCCAATCACACCTTTATATACCTATATACATATATATATATATATATATATATATATATATATATATATATATATATATATATATATATATATATATATATGTATATAAATATAGATAATAGGTTGTTATAAAAATATAGACGATAGGATAGCTGCTTTAAATAAGCTCTTTACAAACTTTTTTGTTGTGGGTTGATTGTATTTTAAAATAACCATGCTTCATAATAACATAAATTACACACACACACACACACACACACACACACACACATAGACTGTAGGTCCTCAAAGCCCAAATCTGTGTGGTGACAGAGTGATGACCATGACTTGTGTTTTGCATTCCAGCCGGACACGCTTCACGGCCCCTCTTTAATGCTGCAGTTTTGCCAAAACGCCTCTGAATGCCACGCTTAAGATAACATTTAGCAAATTTTAAGGTTTCACTAAAGGTGTTAGCTGGTCAACGACAAGACAGAGCAGGAGAGCTCTTGCTTCATAGCACATTAATGAAGCTCAGTCACACGCTCACGGACAAACAATGAAACACACTGACACTTGTGCATGCAGATAAACACATGAACAAATGCATAGTGAAAAAGACACATTCAAGCACGCACACTGACACTATTTGTCTTTCAGAATTTCTGAAAATTCCAAAGTAAAAGTTTTGTTTTCATTGTAAGGGATGGAGTAGTATTTTAAAGGACTCTTCATCAGATGAAGATGGATTTTCAGATAGCTCAGCAAACTCTTGAGTCTGTTTATTCCACGTGTTTAAAAATAAAACTCCAGCCATTTCTTTCTCACCGTGTGTTTATTCTGTGGTATCTTAGCAAATGGACTAATGTGAAGTATGTGATGAAATGAGATGTCTAAATGACATCTCAGGCTGTTGTCACACAGCTTAACACTCAAGAAGTTGTGGTCTAGGAGCCATACAGTACACTGTTTATTCGTCTGCAGGTGTGTGTGCATGTGTGTGTGTGTGCATGAGTGCGTTCAGTGTGTCTGTATGATGAACATTAAGTGCCTACAGCCTTAAGCGTTTGTATGTTTGTGCATTTGTCCATGTATGTGTGAGTAAAATTCATACGTGTGTGTGTGTGGTGCTGCAGCTCCTTCTGGGCTGGCTTGTGTTTATCTTGGCCTGATCCCAGACCTTCATCACTTCTCTGCTGATAGCTCCATTCCTCCATCCCTCTGTCCCTCCGGCTATTTACAAGTCTACCGCAGACTGCCTTTCCCTGCGTGCCAACATCCAATCCTTTTCTTCCCCGTCCTCTCCTCTCTCTACTCTCTCTCCTCTCCTCTCTCTCCTTTCATACTGTCATCATTTGCTTCATCTCGGACTGTGTTTCAGTGCTCTCCCTCAAAAAACCTTCCGTGTCTCACCCGTCTTCCTCTCAGCCAGAGACCGAATCTAGCCGAACTGGAATGCATTTCCACACCCACCCGTTACTCATTTTCTCCTTTTATTTATTTGTCTTGCTGTGCTCCTTCTAGAGACAAATATGTATGTAAGTATTTAAGTGAACTATCATTCATTTGTGTGGACTTATATGTGACAATACAGTCCCCTCAGTTAGATAATTAAATAATTATGTTACATTAACATATCTACATATCTACATATTCTTATGTGTGCTTTAGACATTGAAGAAAAGTCAATAAAATAAATTCTTCACAACATAAAAGGTCATTATGTAAGTCTCTAAAGGCTGACCATTTCAATGATTTTTTTTACTGTGTTAATATAATTTTTTA